CTGCTTAAGTCTCACATTCTTTCTTGTTGAGGTATCATTAAACCAAGTTGGACATGATGGCTCAATACCATTTAGACTCGCCTTCAATACTTCTGAGATAGTATTGCCTTGCCTTGCACTTAACAGGCTGAGGCAGGAGGATTGCCAAAAGCTCAAGGATAGTCTAAGCTGCAGAGTGAAACCATGTCAAAGAAAGAAACAAAAAGAGTAAACCAACAACAATCTTTTCTGAGGGCATAAAAAGCACTTAGTAACTACAGCTGCATACTTGAATGAATTAAGATTCTCCACTCTCCAGGTGTTAAGAACCCACAAACAAATCAGATTTAGAAATTTGTTGAGCACAAATGTGACCCTGTTCTGGAAACTTGGTGAAGAACAGGATACTGTCTCTGCCTATACAGAATTCACTACTAGAAGAGACTGGTACGAGTAGTGCAGCTGATGGACACAAAGCTATTTTTGGAATGACCCATTTAGCAAGTGTTTGCTGGATGCCTGTAGTGTGCAAGGCAAGTGAAGTAGCAATGAGCAAAATTAGCAAACACTCCCTCCTTTGGCACCTAAGCACCTCAGTAAGGGACACAGATAACAACTAAAAGTGTACATGACGTGGTAAGCCAAATGTAAAGTTAGTGCTCAGGCGAACGTAAGTGGAGAACAGACAAATGCAAGGATGCAATTTCAGATGGTGGTAAAAGATCCACTTAACTGAGGCTGCCAACTTAGAGACTTGAAGAAGAAAGAAATAAGCCATTTTCTTCCTATCTTTCATGTCTCCAACCTGAAGGCAGAACATTCCTGGACAAAGAGGGAAAGCAAGAGCCAAAGGTGTGTGTCGAGAAATAGCTGCTGTAAAGGATTAGCACATGCTGACCTAATGGCTTAAAGCAGAGCAGGAGGGGCAGGCAGATGCAGCTTGAAGACCAGAGTTTGTCTTCAATATCAGGAAACAGGTTTTTCTGGCCAACCAGGGGGGTATAACAAAAAAGGATGCAGTCATGGGGGAATCAGGAGGCCTGTCTAGAAGCAGCGGTTGTGAAGAAGATGGCAGAGGTGGAAGAAATGGCAGGATCCACACTAAGCCAGTGCCATACACAGGACTGGAAAATTAGGAAGCTGAGACTGTCAAAGGTCTGATGTGCATAGAAGTCAGAGGGGAGGGGTCAGAGTCCCTGGAACTGGAATTACAGATGGTTGTGGGCCACCAAGTGGAAGCTAGGACCCAAACCCAGAAGAGCAAGTGCTCTTAACCACTGTGCCATCTCTCCAGCCCCAAATTATTACACTTTTATTTTGTGTGGATGCATATATGTGGCAGTTAAGGACCACTTCGCAGCAGCTGGCTCATTCTCACCATGTGGTTCTAAGGATTGAAGTCAGGTTGTCTAGCTTTGAAGCAGGCACCTTTACCTGCTGGGCCATTTTCCTGGCCCTGTAATTTACATTGTTTTTGGTTTTTTTTTTTTTTAATTTTGAGTGATACGGTGATTAGATGAAAAACTAAAATGTGAAAGGCTGGGGGTGTGATTCAGTCTGTAGAAAGCTTCCCTGGTATATATGAAGCTCTGGGTCTGGTCCCCAAGACCATGTAAACCAAGTATGATAGTGAATGTGGCTGCGTAGTTTGAGGCCAGTCTGAGAGTCACTTGGCACCCTACCTTTAAAAAGGAGGGCGGGGAAGAGGTAAGAAAAGGGGGAAATGTTTGAGAATGTCTCATAGCTTCTTAGACTATAAATTAAAAGCTAAGAAAGATCTAAGGTTCTTATAATAGTTATTATAGTAGTTATTAAAACCTTATAACAAAGCCAGGCAGTGGTGGTACACACTTTTGATCCTAGCACTAGGAAAGCAGAGGCAAGGGGATCTCTGAGTTCCAGGCCAGGCTGGTCTCCAGAGCTAGTTCCAGGACAGCCAAGACTACACAGAGAAACCCTGTCTCAAAAAAACAACAAAAAAATAAATGGGGGGGGGGGGGGTAGGGGCTAGAGAGATGGCTCAGTGGTTAAGAGTACACACTGCTCTTCCAGAGGGCTGGGGTTCAATTCCCAGCACCCACATGGCAGCTTACAGCTGTCTGTAACTCCAGTTCCAGGAGATCTGGCACCCTCACACAAACATACATGCAGGCAAAACACCAGTGCACATAAAAATAAACAACAACAACTTAATAACATGAGAGGATTCCCAGAGTATAAATTCCTCATGTCTTTTGAATCTCCACGAACTTGAAAAGTATAAATGTGCTCACATAGGGTTACATTCCATGTTAGAGCATCATCTTTGAACTTCCAAAACACTTTCACAGACTTCTTCCTCATGAGGCCTTTGTAACCTCCCATGAGGAAGTATCTAGGTTTCAATAGGTTTGGGGCAGAATTAGTTCACCCAGTCTGGGAAAACTGAACTGGGGATTTCCAGCAGGCTAGCTGGTTTGTAATTCATGTTAAAATTCAGTCATTAGAATTCTTATATCAAGTTGGTTCTTAGTTAAAACATTTGAGAGCAAACTCGGTAATGCTGAGCCAGCGTGTAAACCTCTGACAACCACCCACCTAACCTGGATATACACCAGGAAGTCCTGTATGTTTGGAAAGTCTGCATTAGTTAAGACTTCAGCTGTGGAGCCGGAGAGATGAGCCACTGGTCGGGATGCCTGCTCCTCTCGCAGAGGACCCAGGTTGCAGTTGCCAGCACCCACCTGGTGGCTCTCAACTGTAACCCGAATCCCAGGAAATCTGACACCGTCTTCTGACCTCTGGAGGCATCATGCATGAGTATGATGCACATACATATATAAGGTAAAACACATACGTACATATACAAAACTCATTCGCATAAAATGATAAAACAAATCTTTTTTTTTTTTTTTAAAGCCTTCGGCTTTAACAGACAAATCCTGATCTCATTGCCCAGTACTTTACTATAACTAGAAAGCTCTAAGAAATGTTGTCAGGTTGTATACCTAGAATCCTGGATCATAAGGGAATCTCCAAAAAAGAAAAAAACCCAAACTAAACCAAACCAACAACAACAGAACAATGAATGGATGCTCACTGTGTCCAGAACTATTTGTCTCAACTCCCACTGTATTCCTCTCTGGCAGTCTGCTAAGGATAAGGGTCTCAAAGAGAAAATTCTGCAGGTCCTGGATGGTTTATATTCTCAAATCTCAAACTTAGTGTCCAAAGTTAGTTCCAAACTGACCTGTCTCCTGCGTTTCTCACCTCAGCTTGAGTTACCCCTCACCTCCCACGCTGCCAGACGCTTGGGATGTTTTAACTGTGTACTCCCCTCCTCTGTGACCATGCCTTCCTTTGTTCACACTACCATCATTTCCCAAACAACAGTCTATTACATCTCTGCCCTGCCTCCAACAGCCAGAAGTTCATTTTAACCATTTCAACCCTCCGATGACATGCCTCAAACAATACATCCATGGCCTCTGAACAAAACTTGATTTGGGGGTAGAGGCAATGGCTCAGGGAGTAAGGGCACTTGCTGGACAAGCATGAGGATCCATGTTTGAATCCCTGGCACTCATGTAAGAGCCAGGCATTGCCACACGGATCTGTAACCCCAGTGTTGGGGGATGGAGAGGGGCAGACCCCCCAGGAGTTCACTGGCAAGCCAGTCTAGCAGAAACAGTGGGCTAATTTCATTGACACACTGTCTCAAGGACGTAAGACAGAGTGACAGAGCAGGAGAACCAGTGTCCTCTGTGACCTCTGTTACACATGCGCCCGCATGCACACACACACACACACACACACACAGATTGGGGAGATAGATAGTTAAGCGCTTGCCTTCCAAGCAAGAGGATCTGAGTTTGATCCCCAAGATGAGAGGGGATTGGTTTGAACTAGCTTTCTATCAGCCTACTCCCAACTTGAGATTTTTTTTTGAGATTTATTTGTTTATTTATTGTATTATGTGTGTTTTGCCTGTATGTCTGTTTGTACACCGTGTGCATGCCTCCAAGCTATCCTTGGAGGTCAGTGAGAAGGTGGCTTTGGATCTTCTGGAACTAGACGCAAAGATGGTTGTGCTGGGACCCAAATTCTGGTCCTCTGTAAGAATATAATGCTGCCTTCGTTGGTTGGTTGGGTTTTGGTTTTGGTTTATTTGGGTGGGTTTTGTTGTTGTTGTTGTTTTGTTCTGTTTTTTGTTTTGTTTTTTGATCCAGGGTTTCTCTGGGTAGCTCCTGTCCTGGAACTTGCTCTGTAGAACAGGATGGCCTTGAACTCACAGCGATCCACTGCCTCTGCCTCCCACTGCTGGGATTAAAGACTTATGCCAGCAACGTCGAGCCTCCCACCGCACCTCCACCCCCAAGTACAGCTGTACGCTCTTGGTCCAAGAGCAGTAAGTACTCAGTGGCTCGGTTGCCTGTCCTTGCTTGGTGATAGAGGGACCTATTCCGTGGAGACGGGACCACTACCAGGCAGACGGGAGCTGGAATTAGCGTGTGCTCCTTCCGCGTAGCAATGCCCCTGCCTCATTCTCCCTTTTGTACGCACCTCCCCGCCCCCCCAAGCACTGATTTCCCATGAAAGGCGGAAACAACGTCTGTCATAAATAATACTGGACATTCAACAAATGTTTATAGCACCTTCTAAGCCAGGTGCTGTCCTGAACACTCGGGACACAATAATCAGACAGGGCCCTGCCCACGTGGCCACACACAGGAGCACGTAAGAAAGGAACATAATTGTCAAGCCCTGAGGGCTGCGGGGGTTGGGGAACCCAGGCAGGAGGCAGCATAGGCCTCCCTAATCTCTACTCCATTCACACTCAACCCCCAGCCACCTAAAGCCAGGCTAAAAGCCAGGTAAGGCCAAGTTGAAGACCACAGAACAGGCCCCGCCCACCGAGAAGTCCCGCCCTCAGGAGAAGGCTAGCCAATGAAGGGGAGAGGCCAGTTCCAGGGGCGGGACTAGTAACGGAAGGGGCGGGGCGTCGTTGCCAGGTGTCCCTCCTTCCTCTCCCGCCTCGCCTCTCCTCGCCTCGCCTCGCCTCGTGGGCTGTGGAGCTGACCAGAGCGTGGGCCCAGCCAGAGGTGAGCGAGGCCGCCACGCACAGGGGCATGCCTGGACCTTAGGGATTCATGGGCGCTGGGGCAGGGGTCCCCACGGTACTCACCACCTCACACGAAAAACCTTTAGTGCTAAACTCGCCACTTGCCTACGTCATCTGCCTCTCCTAACACCTCACCTTTCCTCTTAGTTCCTACACCCCCAAACCCTGACGCTTTCCGTCATATCCTCACCCTACAGCCTAAAATACCATCCTTCCGTCTCCTCCCACACTCCAGGCACTTGCCCTCAGTTCCATCTTACCACAGCAAAACTGGCTCCTGGATCTCCTCAAACACACCCTACCCTTCTCCCCTCAGCTTCCTCAACCCACACTGAAGAAGCCGCCCCTCATCTCACAAAGCTTTATCTCCCTCCCGTCATTTTCCTCAGTCTCAACCTTCCCTCAGCCCCTCAGCTTCCTCTCACTCCATACCCCTGATGCTACCCTCAATTCACCCCACATCTGTATCTCCCTCCCCTCAGCTTTCTCAGCCTACACCCCAGATGCCTCCTATCTCAACTCACACACACTCTTTTTGTTTTTCCAGGCAGGGGTGTGTGTGTGTAGCTCCAGCTGCCCTGGAACTTGCTCTGTAGACCAGGCTGGCCTCGAACCCACAGAGAGCCACTTGCCTCTATCTCCTGAGTGCTGGGATTAAAGGCCTGTACCACCACTGCCTGACTTCAACCTACACTCTTTTGTTGTTGTTTTCAAACCATACTACTTCACTGGTCCTTGGCAATCTCCACTATTTTTTTTTAACTTTTAAAAAAGATGATCTATTTGTTTATTTTTAAATTTTATGTACACTGATATTCTGCCTGCTTGTATATGTGAGGGCGTCAGATCTCCTGAAACTGGAGTTACAGACAATTGTGAGCTGCCATGTGGGTGCTGGGAATTGAACCCAGGTCCTTTGGAAAAACAGCCAGTGTTCTTCTCTTAACCACTGAGCCATCTCTCCAGCCCCTCAACCCACACTCTTCCTCTCTTCAGCTTTCTCACCCCACAGCCTAGATGCCTCTCCTGTCCCTTCACTCCACACTCTTATCCTCTCCTCAGAATCTTCAACCCACACCACACATCCTTATCCCTCTCCCCTCATCTCCTTATCCTTATCCTTTAATTCCTTTTTGCTTCCTCAACTCACACCCTAAATGCCTCCCCATTCATTGCCTCACTCCACTCTTTATCTCCCTTCTATCAGCTTTTCAACACATATTCTCATCCCCTTCCCTCAATCTCCTTGTTCCTCTAAGACTCTGGTCCAGTCTCCAAATCCTTGAGATCTCTTCATTCAGTCTCCTTACCCAATATCCAAAATCCTTTGCCCTTAAGCTTCTCATCTATAACCAAAGCCCCCAATCCTCACTCTGTTCACCATAAACTCCCTTAGCTTCTCTTCACATCTGTGGTGGTTTGAATAAGAATGGCCCCCATAGGCTCTTGTATTTGAGTGCTTGGTCACCAGAAAGTGGAACTCTTTGAAAGGATTAGAAGGATAGGGAGGTATGGCCTTGTTGAAGGAATTGTGCCACTGGGGGTGAGCTTTAAGGTTTCAAAAGCCCATGTCAAGCCTATGTGCTCTCTCTGCATATGGACCAGGATGTAGCTCTCAGACTACTCCAGACCCTGCCTCCATGCCACCATGTTTCCTACTATGATGATGATGGACAAAACCTCTGGAACTGTAAGGAAGCCCCCAATAAAATGATTCCTTTTATGAAAGTAGCCTTGGTCATAGGGTCTCTTCATAGCAATAGAACAGTGATTAGGAGAGAAGTTGGTACCAGAGAATGGGCATTGCTGTGACAGACCTGATCATGCTGTTTTTGTTGGAATGTGGACCTTGGAACTTTGGATTAGGAGCTTAATGGACCATACTAGTAGGAGCATAGAAGAGATGTAAAGAGATTTACATGCTGAGATGTAAATTCTGATGGCATAGCTCATGAAGTTTCAGAGGGGAAGCATTATTAGTGTCTGGCCTAGAGAGAATTCTTGTAATAGTTAGGCAAAAAATGTGGCTGATTTTTGTTCTAGTTCAAAAAAATCTGCCTGAAACTAAATTTAAGAGTTTTTGGACTAATGGTATTGACAGAGGAGATTTCAAGACGACTAATATTGACTATTCATGTGGTTATTAGTGATTGTTCTTAGGCAGTACTACAGTGAAAAGGAGCAAATGGGGCAAGGAAAAAAAAAATACAATGTGAGGAGAAAAGTAACACCGGGGAATATTTTGTTGGAGCCAAGTCCAGTGCTCAAAGAGATAAGTTTAAAGAAGAGGCTGAAAAAAAGATAAAGAAAAGATTAACTTTGGGGCTGGAGAGATGACTCAGCAGTTAAGAACACTGTCTGCTCTTCCAAAGGTCCTGAGTTCAATTCCCAACAACCATATGGCAGCTTATAACCATCTATAATGAGATCTGGTGCCCTCTTCTGGCATGCAAATGTACATGAAGACAGAGTACTCACATACATTAAATGAATAAACAAATAAACAAATCTTAAAAAAAAAAAAAGGTTAATGTCAAGAAAAGAAAAGCCTCATGCCAAATGCAATAAAGAGAGTAGTGACCTCAGGGCAAGAACTCACACAGCTAAGCTTCCAACTTATGAATGGAATTAAAGCAAACCATCAACAACAGAAGGCTGAGGCAAATGTAATTGAATGAGGAAGCCATGTTCCAGTCTGAGCAAATAGTAGAACTTGGCAGCCTAAGCCACATGGTTCTGGCTTTAGAATCAAGGATACAAGAAAGGGGTTGTGGAATGTCCCTCCCCAGCTAAGGAAAACTGATGAGGCCAGGTGTATGTCAGCTATGGAGGCCTAGAGAGGTCATTGCACAAAGCTGTGAAGGTGAAACCTGGATTGTGTTGAAGACCCCAAGGTGTTAAAGATGTCAGAGTTGTGAGATACCTGCCAGTGGGGGCCAGGGAATGGAAACTGGTGGTTTGAATAAGGATGGCCCCGTAGGCTCACATATTTTAATGCTTGATCACCAGGGAGTGGAACTCTTTGAAAGGATTTAGAAGGATTAGGAGGTGTGGCCTTGTTGGAGGAGGTATGGCCTTGTCAGAGGAAGTATGTCACTGAGGTGGGGCTTTGAGGTTTCAAAAGCCCATGCCAGGTCTAAGTTCTCTCTGCCTATGGATCCGGATGTAGCTCTCAGGTCCTGCTCCAGCACCTGCCTGTATGCTGCCATCTTCCATGCCATGATGATAACGGACTAAATCTCTGAAAGTGCAAGCAAACCCCAGTTAAATACTTTCTTTTATGAGTTGCCTTTTCATGGTGTCTCTTCACAGCAATAAAACAGTGACTAAGAGAACATCCTAAGTCCCCTCACCTCAGTTCTCTCAACCCACAGCCTAATCCTCTACTGCCAGCCACATCCTACATCCTAGGACTCTTCCTCAGAACCCTTCCCTCCCACCCCCGAAGTCTCTTCTCCCTAAACTCCAGACACCTTCCCTCAAGCTCTTCACACCCTAATCTCCTGACTTCAGCCTCCTCAGCCCTCACTCCAGGTGCCTCCTCTGACTCTCATACCCTTAGTCCTCTTCCCAAGGTCTCTTACCCCAGACCCTAAAATTTCTGCCATCATTCTCACTGTATAACCTAAGCCCCCTTTCCTCAGAATTTTTATCTTCTATCCCAAGACTCCTACCCTGGTCTCTCCAATCAATTCCCTGTCTTCTCTCACCCCACATCCTAAATCCTCTCCCTTCAGTCCCTACATTCCACATCACAGGCATTTCTCTCTCAGTCTCCTGTCCCCACAGACCCTGCTCCTCGCCACATTCTCTTCACTTTACACACCCCAAGTCCTGAAGTCTGTATACCCTAGACTTATCCCATATACGCCATGTCTCACTCTCACCAATCTCAATTCTAAGCCTGAGATAGTCCTTGCCCTCCTCAGCTCTCATACTCTCTCCCTGGATTACTTCCCAAATTCATCAGTTTCTGAGATCCAAAGTCATGTAACCGCAGCCACTAACCTTCTAGCTGCCTCTTGCTCTGTGCCCCAATTTACCTGCTCCTCTATTTATAGAAATATGCATTTTTGCCTCGTTTCCACCAATTATCTTGCCTTCCCTTAAACTTTTTTTTTCACTTGTTGCCTCAGTGTCCTTTACATTGTTCATCCACCACATGTATGTTATATACTCAGATGTGTTATAATACTTCACCCATTTTCTCTGTGTCATTCTAGGGTGAGGGACCTTCAGTCTTAGCAGTATTCATTATATTACTCTTGATTCTCTGTTGCATACCCAAACACCTACCTGGAGGAAGGCACGAGATTTGCCAAACATTTATCATTCTCTCCAAGCCAAGAAAGCCCACTGTTAGAGGTGGAAGGGGAAACCCTTTATATCACCATTGTGGAGAGTTGGAGAACATCAGCCTTGAATTCTCCCCTTGCCTTCCCACCTTGGTCTGACCCTGTCTTTCTCCATCCTTCCTTTCTTGCCTGCCCCAAGTTTTATAGATATATGATTTATTGTTGAATATAAATATTTGTTATTGATTTATTTTTTAGTTAACAGTGGTTATTTATAAACCAGCTGTATACCCAAATCACCACACAGAGGCAAGGATGTATTTAGTTAACCTAGAGCACAATGCTGGGCAATGATCACTCCATCCTAAACCTCCAAGTCCACATAGCTTCCTCCCATTCAGAATTTCCAACATTATACTTGCTTTTAGTCATATCTTACTTAGGTTTGATTCATCTCTCCTTGTGGTTCCAAGTCCTGTCCTGCCGATCTCTGTTCTCTGACTCCTCCCACTCCTTTCTCCTCCCCTCTGGACCAGGGTGTCCCACCCTATTCTCCCCATTGCACAGCATTGGCTGGTTGTTTTATTGAAAATACAGAGAACAAATGGTGGCATATTTACACAAACTTGAGACAGGTGATGCTTAGAATGAACATCACAATGCAATGTCTGGATTGAAACCAGAT